CTTAATTTCCTTAATTTTAGTTTTTTTCAAGCTTAAAAATACACTTTTTTATACCTTAGAAGCTTTGCAGGTTTCCTTAAGATTGGAAGGCTGATTCTACACCAGTTTCAATGGCATTTTATAAAAATAAACGCAAACACTGTGACAACAATGGAAGGAATTGATGGTGGACAAAAGCTTAACAATGCCTTCATTTCCTTTCGGAAATATCAGCTTCAGCTTTCTTACAAGAAGGAAAATAACAACAGGTTGTTCCCACCCACTGCCCTGAGATTTCAAACAGGAGTAAAGGGGCTCTGCTACTGGGAGGGATTCGGTTCTGTCAGCTTGTATATTGGTTGACTTAGGTATTTAACTTTATGCCCAGGGAAAAACCAAGGTACTAACTTTGATAAGGCGGGGAAGAGGGTTTCTTTTTTAGAATCGGCTCCAAAATACCCACATTCCCACATGCTGTATTAGTATAGATTTTACCTACATGGTCATTCCTCTACTCTTAACTGATTCTGATGCCTGTAAAATCAATCCTGAGATTCCAGTTGTTCTGATACACCTCGTTGGTCCAGAGCTCTGGTCTGTGGGCCCACTGTGCCGTCCCTGGGTGTAACTGTACTCCCTGCCGTGGACTCTCCGGAATGCTGTTTGCAGGTAAATATGCTCTTCCCAGCCAAGCACGTTCCTGCATTGCCTCCTGGCACTGCACCTCCTGGGATGCTGATTTGACTCCAAGCAAGGAATAAACTGAAAAACAATATTTAGAAATGTCTCCGGGGAGGGGACAGCATGTGAGGGATGTCTTCAGTAGAACTGAGCCCCTCGGCTGGAAACCTTGCCTTGAGGGGTGGGATGGCAGAGGAAGCAGGAAGAGAGAAAGCCCTGCTCTTCTGGGCACAGCTGGGCAGCTCCCAGTCCTCTCTTACCCTAGTTACCCTCCTAGGAGGTGAGCAACGTAAGCCAGCCCCTGGGAGGGTCCTATGTGTCTTGTTCACCACCAGAATTCCGAGCAAAGACCTCGTGGGTGCCGTGTAAAGTAACTACTGACTACCTAAACAGAAAGCACTTTTAAAAAACAAAATGACCATTTTTTCCCATTACCTTGTGTTGTAGCTGGACTCACTGGATTTTTGTTTCTAAATAAAAATGACTGTGAACATATCTACCTGATGTATTTAGGGATGTATCTGATTTTCCGCTTAGAAAGACCCTGGCTTTTGAAGTTACAAGTAGAATGATTTTAAGGCCAGAACTTAAAATGCATTTTTGGTCCTAAAACTCAGTGGTATGTCTCTAATGATTTTCTAGGTAACTGGATGAACAAAGAACAAAACTCATTTTTATACTTGCTGTCTGAAGCAGCACAGGAGATGGCTTACTTTGATTACACTTGTGATACAGTTCGGTGTTGAGTAGCTGGCAGATTGTCAGATCTGTGTCTGATTCGTCTTCCCTGTTGTGGGTAGCGCACTGCAGGTGCTCAAATGTTAATAAAACAGCAACGCATGTCATGTATCAGGTGTCCTAGATTCCGAGCACTGATAGCACTGTTGACATATGTAGAGAGGAAGATTATACATGGTGGGAAAATTAGGTTTAATTGAAGTTAAATGACACCTTAGAAGTTGACATGGAGTTAATCATTTTGTTGGTGGATAAGACACTATCTATCACAACTTAGCCAGGGTCAAGTTCAATCCAGGGTCACAGTACAGAATCACAGTGCAGCACTCAGAGTAAAGCAAAGAGTTGATTTGCAACCTGAATTCATGGCCATCAGGCTGAGCTCTGGCTCAGAGGAACTGCTGCCCAATGCCCCACTTTGGGGGCCACCCCACCACAGGAAGGTGAGAAGCCTCATTTGCCCTTCCACTCCAGGCTCTTCCAAGGCTTCAGCCTGGTCTGAGGAATGATAAAGGGGTGGCTCTTGTGGGGAGTGGGACACTGGCTCGCCCAGGCACAGTCACTTCTGCTCCATGTGATGGAGCCCCTGCAGGCTAAAAAGGGGATGCAAGATGCAGACCAGAAGCTAATACTCCCTGCAACAGTATCCCCACCTCCACATTAAATTGTAGCTCTTGGGATTTATGATAGGGTGTGTGAGTGCATTTGTTAGCTCTCTCTAGACCTTCTAAAGTTAAGGGCAGGTCTGGAACTAGGGCAAGTCACACAGCACGTTTTATTGTCAGTTTCCTCATCTATAAGGAGGATAATAACTGTTCCAGGAACCTCAAAGGGTGGGGATGATGCCAATGATCTTGAAAATGACCAGCATCTGGTGAGTATGCACTGTGGTTCCAGAACTGTACAACAGTCTCTGCATACATTGTATGTGACCCTCACAAAGCTTCGATTATGTGTATTTCCTTTTTGTAGAACAGAAAATGGGCTCAAACATGTTAATCTCCTCTTCCAGCCTCCTGTCCCAATCAAGGGACACCACTGGGAACATGTGTGACAATCTCAGCAAACGAGTAACTTGATAGTTACATGTTATGTCTTGGATCCCTATTTGTCCACTGCCTGTTATGCACCAGAGATATCACAGTGAACAAAAAGAGAGAGAATCACTGGCTTTAGAAGCCTAAAGTGGAGGGAGAGGAAAATCTAAAATATAAGACATTAGACAGCAGCAAACAAAGCCAGGAAGAGAACGCTTAGGTGTGAATTTCTGGGGAAGACGAGTCTTGAATGTGAAGGATGAGAAATGGCATGCTACTTTTTGAACATTGTTGAGTGTTGTTCTTTCTTTGGGCGGGTGGGTGTGGGTGCCAGTGTGTGGGGTAGTGGAAACACAATACACAGCGGAAGGAGTGCAGGGTGGAAAAGAGAGGGGACTGGAATTTGCCCACTGTTCCTGACCCCCTCGGGTCTCATGCACCTCAGCAAATCAATAGGGAGCAGAGCAGTAAGAGATGGGAGTGGAGAGATGAACTAAAAGGGGTCAGGGACCAAGTCCCTGGTCAGGACTTGGCTCTCACAGAGTGTAGTGGGGGGCGGGGGCTGAGCAGTCACCCTGGCCCAGTCCTTGGACTTTGGGAGGCAAGGACAGAAAAAGGAGGGAGTGCAGGCCTGGAGCAAGGTCACCTTAGCAGAACTAGCACACAGACTGAGCGCAGGCCTGATGCTTAGAAGACTGAGCGCACAGGCCTCACAGACCCTCGTGAGGCATCAGAGAAAGAAAACAAGGAAGAAGCCAGGCTCTTTTAGCTGGCTGAGGGCTGAAGCTTGTGAATGAAACACATGTGGGGCAGGAGAAAAAGAACCTGGTCTAAGCTTTGTTGTTTTGAGGTGTCCACAGACACCAGGTGGAGGTGCCAGGCAGTTTCTTCCACTTCACTGGGTTGGAATCCCACCCCCTTCTTCTAGGGACCAGCAAGAGTACTAAATTTTTTTGCATGTGACGTGGTGGTTTACCTCAGAGAATTTGATGTTGGTGTTCATGAAGAGATGAAGAAATATTAGGGCTAGGTGTTGCGGCACATCCTGTAATTCCAGCACTCTGGAAGCTGAGGCAGGAAGACCACAAATTTGAGTCCAGCATAGGCATCTGTGGTGAGGCTGTCTCCCCCAACCCGAAAAAAGAGCCGAAAATGGAGCTCGCTTATTTATTTATTTATTTATTTATTTATTTATTGGGGGGTGGGTAACTGGGAACTGAACTCAAAACCCCATGTTAGACAAGCAGGTGCTGTGTTCCTGGGCTAAATCCCCAGCCCAACGCAACGCAGTTTGAAGAGCCTAGGTTCAATCCCCAGGGCTGGGGGTGGAGGGAAAGGAAGGGCAGGCGCAGTAAAAGTAATATTAAAAAGGATCTATTTGGAAAATTCCCAACTTACCTGTGTCCCAAGGTTGGGAGATAACAGGTCATTCTCTAAGCAACCACGCAAATCTGTTACTGTCTCTCAGGTGACTTAGGGACCCCAAAACAAGCTGACAACCTATTCCAAGGGTTTAAACAGACTAGATGTTGAAAAAACACGTTTGACATTCTTTGAAAAGCTCACTGTAGGTCATAAATAAAACGATTCTTCTCTCCGCCTCCACGCAGACATTAAAACAGACGTGTCCGCGTGGGGCCAAAAAACAAAACCCGAGGCCTGCGCTGAAAGTGGGTCGCTGGCCCGGCCGGGCCCTGCCCGGCCGCGCTCGAGGTGACAAGCAGGCCGCGGGGGAGGGGTCGGTTCCGCCGCCCCAGGCCCTCGCGGGGCCCGGTCCCCATCAGACCCAGGGAGTCCTGGTGTCCCGGCCGGGCACCGTCGTGACTCGGAGTAGGCTGAGCCCCGAGGGGACCTCGGCGCCCGTCCTCAGGCCTCAGGGCCCGGGCGCCGCCCCACCCGCCTCCTCCCTCCGGGCGCGGCGACCCTGCCCAGCGCGCAGCTCCTTGGCGCGTGCGCAGCGAGGCGCGGGGCGGGGCGAGCTAAGGCCCCGCCCACTCCCCGTGAAACGCGGCCGCGCATTGGCCCGACGGCCTGTCACTCGGTGCTCACCATGGTTGCAGCACAAAGCAACAAGCCCTGGAGGCCGCTTCCTCCCTGAGGAGCGGCTCGGTCAGCCGCCGAGGCGCAGGCAGAGGAAGAGGCGGAGGAACGGGAGGGAGTCGCCGCTTCCCACACACTCGGGCTCCTCGCTCGTTTGCTCGCTCGCCGTCTCGGACGCCCGCGGCCGCCGGAGTCCGTCCGCTCGGCTGAACGACAGCGAAGTTCCAAGAGCCGGGCCGGAGCCGCGCGGGCCGGGCCGGGGCCCATGGGCGGGGGCGCGGCGGCGG